CCCAAAACTATATATACAATTGTTGGGCATAAAGAGACGAATGCAGTCATGACATTAGAATTGATCCCAGGGTCTGCCCCACCCTTGCAGACTTGGCCCCTGGGTCATAACTTTGAAACGGTTGAGATCCCCACCCCAAAACTATATATACAAATGCTTGGCAAAAAGAGACAAATGCAGTCACGATATTAGAATCGATCCTGTGGTCTGGCCACAACTCTAGGGACGTAGTTTCTGAGTCAAAGCTTGGAAACAGGTAAGATCCCCACCCCATAACCATACATAAAACTGCTAGGCATCTAATATAGCTATGCTACAAGGATTGGCCTTGGGGTCTGGCATATTCCCTTGATCTCATTTGGAGAATAGTTTGCCATAATTGCTTAGGTATCCAGGTGAGCGATACAGGCCCTTTGGGCCTCTTGTATTGACTATTGGACCTGACAAAATAATGAGAGGGGTGGGCAGTGGTAGCAGTGAATATAAGGAATGAAGTGCTACTATAACAGGTCAAATATGGCATAATTCATGTAAGATTTTAGTTAATGTCATATTTTCAAAACACTTTTTCCTATGTACTTTTGATATCAAGTGATTTGACATGAATTCCTCTTAATATACGCTTTCTTTTACTATCGGGAACAAATTTAGTCTCTTAATTACGAGGTGCATTTTCAAAGAGTATAGCAACCTTGCGCTCCATGTTTGGTAGGAGTGATTATAAGGAATGGAGCACTAATTTATTAGGTCAAAGATACAGCATAATTAATGTCACATTTTGGTTCATGTCATTATTTTCATAATAGTTTGCTTTGATGTCAAGTGATTTGATATGAATTCCTTTCTTTTTACAATCAGGATTTTTTTTGCTGTGTAACGGCTTATTATGGAAGTGCATTTTGAAGGAATGGAGTGACATACCTTGCACCTTGTGATATTAATCATTTCACAGTGGAATTATCAAAAAAATAGTTACCCACAGACTTTCAGGAGTGGCAAAAAACATTATTGCAGGTTATTAATTTACTGTAAATAACACTTGTATTTCATGCACACAAAATTTGGGGAAGTAACCTTTTTGTACTTAATTGTGAGTTTTTTTTATATTCTTTCCAAAGAGTTTGTGTTTTAGGTTGTGTTTGTTTGATCCTTGAACTCAAATTCAGTTATTAACATAAAAAGTATGCGAAGGTAAATTTAACATGAAATATGAGTCATCTGCAGCATAAAGAGTGCAGAGGAATTTTTTCCTCTTTTATAGACGTCATTAACTCATTCACCCCTGAAGACACATTTGAACTCTTCCAATTCAAAGGTTGGAATAGTTCATTATGAAATTTCAGGGGTAAATGAGTTAACATTGCAGAAATATTTGAGTATATGAAGCATCTGTCTGTATGATGTAGGGTGATTACAAATAATTGTCCATCATTGATGAAGAGATTCAAGGGGAAATTTGTTTCAGTTTCGATGTTATCCTGTAGTTATAGTATTGAACGCTAATGGGTGGAAAAGTAGGGAATTTATTTTACAAAAAATGTAATGACCAAGAGCTCTTTAACATTAAAATTGTGAAATTACTTAATGATTTAATGATGACAAATGTATCATTAGTGAAACTTCATTTTACTGTGTATTAAAGCATATACGTATACCTAGCCATTTAAGTTGATTTTCTCAATTTTTTGAAGTTCGATCCGAATAAAATCCTGGGTAAATGAAAAACCTTAGCTTTCTTAGCTTTTCATAGGACGATAAACCCTGTACTAATAGCTGTGCAAGTGGCAAAACATATTTATGTTGAAATCCAGTATACATTTCAAATCAGTGGTCGTTTGTACATGTTTTTTTAACTCTTTTGATACTTTTGTTGAACAAAGGGAAGACAATTTCCGTCTGATATGTTTTTTGGGACAAATTGAAGCCATTTCTGTCTGTGTACTTGAGGACAACTTTGCTCCTTATAGTAGTACTGGCTGTTCCCTGTTGGTCCCATACATACTTGGGTAATGAGATCTGTGAGAATGGATCACAGATGAGAAGAATTCCTTAATTCTGCAACGACATTAACCAAAGCATTTGATGGAGATTTAATTGCAGGAAGGAATGTCTGTAAAAATTACCTAATTTGTGAGAAGTGGGAAATATGTTGCCACACCAACACATGCATTTCACATGTTTTTCGTTGGTGGTCGCAGGTGCTTTTAATGCCCTAATTAGTTTAAATGTTTTATTAATTATGAAAAGTATATGTCGACAGGCTTGGGAGGTTTATTAGAGTTTCATGTCTGGGGCTTGTCATCGTCAGCACTTCTGCATAAATTAAGTCTAGTTTTATGTAGTCAGCCACAGCTGGCTTGACATGTAAATGTTGTAAGAACGATTTACAGTGTAAAAAGTAGATGTCAGCTTTTAGTGATTTCTATCAACACTGAACTAGAGAGGTCCCCAAAAAAACCCCATGATATGGGAGGTTTTAATATCTTTTAAGGATCCCTGTCCTGCTGTTAGCAAAACACTAAAGAACTTCAGTAATTATGCCCCCGCCATAAAATGGGGGGGGGACATATAGTGTTGCCCGTGTCCGTCCCGTCCCGTTGCGTCCAGTCCCATCCATGAGCGGGGGTATTTTGTCTTTCAGACATTTTCTAGTTTATTTTTGTGTTCAGAGTTACCTCCCTTTAATTTATTTTGAAAATAAGGCCAAGGTACCAATGTTGATCAGTAGCTAATGATCAGTTGTTCAGAGCAACGTTATAAAAAAATGTTACACATTCGGGACACTTTTGGTGATTGTTTTCTTTTATTATTTCTACAATATTGCTGTTTCTAAGAAGTTCTGTAAGGTACTTTTTCTGAGAAGTGATTTATCAATGTTATGGTCATACTGATAAAAAGGTGCCAATGCATTCTTACAGTTTTTCACAATGATGCTCGGATCCTTAGCAAAGGGAATTAAGTGTTTCCATTTACATATGGACCGGTCGGGTGATTAGACCACTACATGTTGATTCTACTATCTACACTAAGGCTTTGTGAAGGTTTACATAAACAATATGTTGTTTCATCCCGGATTGAGGGATGATACAGCAGAATTTAATGGTATTGAAAACCCTGTTGTGATATATACAGTAATTAACTGTCAATAAAGTTTCCTAAATCTAGAATGTCTTGTATTATAAATATTACAGAACATCAGCAGTTTCATGCTTAAATCTGTCATCCACTTCTTGCAGTATATATATTATGGAATATCTTCAATTTTATGCTGAAATTTGTCATAAGGCATATATAATTGTCATAATTACAGACTATTTTGTCCTTAAAAGGAAATGTGAATTAATTGGATGTCCGTCTCCTGATGAATTCCTGCACGTTTTATCAGACAAACTGAAGGATTTTGATACGTGTATCCGAATCCTCCTTCATAATGCTACATTATAAATAATCACATATAATTTGACACTAATTCGGTGGCGTGTAGTTTCATATACACATGTCATGGTAAAATTAAACTTATGTATATATGCATACCTGACTTTTTATCCATAAACCTCAACTGGCATATGGTCCTTTGAACCTTACAAATGGTAGGAATTTAAAAACTACATTCTTCAAATAACAACTGTTTTTACACATATAGATTATAAGAAACTAAGTTCTTTGACAGATATATAAGTCTTAGGTAAGAGATTTTCATTTCTATTAGAATTGCTAACCCGATTCATCAAGAATTTATGTTTCCTTATCTAGAGAAATCGGATTCATTATTACCCACGTAACTGCATAAAGGCAACGAATCATCCAAATACCAAAACACCAGCCATTGATTTGTTTGATATAGTCTTAAGGTCATAGGAGTGTATTGATAAACGGAAATAGGAAGTACGTCCCTAGTTGAAAATCCAATGTAGGGAGACAGTATCACAATTTCCGCATATTCTAATGTTTAATATTAAACTGATGAATATTGTGTGTTTATTATTGACAGAACAGTGTGTTCAAAGCAAGCCAGGCATTAGTTCAGTTGGGTTTTTTTTATCAATGAGTCACATGTGTCCATTTTTCTGTACTTCAGGACACCGGCTACCTATTTCACTACTGTAAAGTTTTTCAGGATAGACTCTTACATGCAATTACTATGTGTATATGGTTTTATTATGAAATGTCAATTTTTAATCGTTTATATATAATTAATTTTACACAATTTCAGCATTTATTAAATTGATATACATTAATGCAAAACTAATCTATGGCACTATCATTTTTTTATTGACATTATTTTGCAAAAACTTGTGTCTTTCATTTGTTTCTTCAAAATTCACTCCTTTTTACATAAATTTCCATTTAAAATCCTTCAAATTCTGACAACCTATATATTTTTTGGGGCAGAAAATTTTCTTTACTCCAAAGCAATATAACTACAAAATTTGAAGAAATTCTACTGAGAAATGGTGACACAATCCTATTACCTTAATTGTTCTGACAAATGGGCTAGCTATACAGGAGAACATATGATTAACTGTCACACACATATTAAATGTAAACTTAATTTTATTTAACAGTAATAATGAATCAAAGTATTTCAACTTATATCAGTTACTCTTGTTGGCTTATAGATATTAACGCACTGGGGGTCTTAATGTGGGAGGAAACCGGAGTACCCGGAGAAAACCCATGTAGTCAGGGTTGCAGACACACCTAGGTAACTTTAGTAGACTCTACCATACATTGATCTGGATGAGTCTATTATGGTCTACAGTGGTGAAAGGGCTAATTAACAGTACTTACTAAATATGAGTGTTCTTTTGGATTTGAACTTAATTTTTATGTTTTATATTTTTCAGAAAACAACATTGACTTACTGACTGCTGTTGGGGTTCCCTCTGTGACTAATGGGGTAGGCTACGAGACAGGAATTACTGGCTACCCAGCATTTTCTTTCAATGAAAGAGCATTTATACGCAAAAGTGCTGCAGAAATATTTGGTGCAGCCCTAAAATATCGGAACTTCGCTTTAACTTTAGCCGTGAAACCAACACGAAGAGAAGGAGGTTTTCTTTTTTCTGTGAAAAACCCATATAACACTGTAGTTATTTTTGGTGTTTTGATAGAACCATCAACATTACCAAGAAGGGATAATCTAGTTTTTTATTACACGGAAAATGCCCAATTTCAAAATCGGGTGCCATCAAACGTGTTAGCTAATTTTACAGTGGATTCACTTTATAATAAGTGGACAGAACTGGGAATTAAAGTCGAAGACAGTACAGCCACGCTTTACGTAAATTGTGAAAGAACAGAAAGCAGGCGGATCAACAGAAATAGCGCACGTCTGTTAGCCATTGAACCAGGATCGTCATTCTACATTGCGCAGGGCGGACCTAACTTCGAAGGAGATCAGTTTGTTGTAAGTACAAAATGTTTTTACAAAGTTTGTCTTTATCAATTATATGTCATTACATTTCTGTTACCACATAATCTTTTATCCTTAACTCATTCACCCCTGAAATTTCATAATGAACTATCCCAAACTTTGAATTGGAAGAGTTCAAATGTGTCTTCAGGGGTGGATGAGTTTTTTATGTTCCCCTTTTAGGTCTGCTCTGCTGGTTCAACCCAGTTAAACTTATTCTTAGTAGTGGAAAGTGTATTGGGACACTTTTGGATAAAAAAATTGGAAATCTTTCCATATAAACCAAATCTGTATGGTGAAATGGTGAAACAACTGAACACTTAGTGGTGGTTGAATTAAAGACACTATGCCAAGTATTATGTTGCACCTCTTTTACGTTTTTTATTGTGTCTCTTTATATTGAACAGTATCCCATTTGTTGCTGTTTACATTGCCGCTTACCTTTTTGAATCAACAATTAAAAATCAACCAATAAGGCAAAATTTCGTCATTTCCCCTTTTTTGTGATATATAGTAAAGACTTTTGAAGCTAATAATATTCACATAATGTTGTAAATGTGGCCAATCAGTGATCAGTACCAAGTCAGTATGGCCAATCAATGATCAGTACAAAGTCAGTGTGGCCACCGATCAGTGACAAGTGCTAGGTCAGAATGGCCAATCAGTGATCAGCACAACGTCAGAATGGCCAATTAGTGATCAGCACAAAGTCAGAATGGCCAATCAGTGATCAATAACAAAGTCAGAAGGGCCAATCAGTACCAAGTCAGTGTGGCCAATCAGTGACAAGTGCTAGGTCAGAATGGCCAATCAGTGATCAGCACAAAGTCAGAAGGGCCAATCAGTGATCAGTACCAAGTCATTGTGACCAATCAGTGATCAGTACTATGTCAGTGTGAACAATCAGTGATCAGTACCATGTCAGAAGGGACAATCAGTTATCAGTACCAAGTCATTTTGACCAATCAGTGATCAGTACCAAGTCATTGTGGCCAATCAGTGATCAGTACCAAGTCAGTGTGGCCAATCATTGATCATGCAGTACTACAGGTCAGAATGGCCAATCAGTGATCAGTACTAGGTTAGAATTGCCAATCAGTTCTCAATTATAATGTAAATGCAGTTCTTTATCCTGCTCATGTTTCAGATCATCTTCATTTTGCAAGATTTTATTTTTCAGACATGTAACTAACAGAAGACCAGGCAATTGGTTGTCTCTACCACTGTCATACACTGTATGTTTTTAAAATGTAATAAAATGCTTTTCCGAGACATCCATCTTGACAAGAGTTACCACATGTTTGTTATATTGTCCAGACTTTATTTCTATGAAACCTATCCAGAGATATATGTAGCTGTCAGTAGGCATTGTGCTGTGGTATTATCAGGATCCTGTTTACTCTAAGGTCATGTCATCACTAAAGGTCAAAGGTCTAATTTTGAAAGTTTTTTTATCCAACTTGTATTTTCTTCCTTATTAAAGAATTGTATATGAAACATTCATGATGGACTTATAAACGTGTACCACTATTAGTAGGTGTGCCATTCATATATCGATCCAGCCTGAGGTCAAGGTCAGAGAGCAAGCCACCAAACAACTGTTCTAGTCAAACATCATAAAAATCTGTAGAATGCCTGTTGAGATATTTTCTCGATTGCTAATTCAAGGTCAATGTTATAAATTTCCATACAAATTTGAATGCCTTTTTGCTTGTCCAGAGCATCTATGATGAAAGTGTTTGAAGATTATTATTGTTCTGGAGGTCAAAGGTCAATTTATTTTTGATAGCTTAGCTTCAAACTGAGATCCACTTCGTTTTGTTGGGTACACAACCACCCTCCCCATGTTACAATTGATGCACCAGATGACACTACTTGTAGGGTTGCCCTTTTCATTGGCCTGTGGATCTGTTTAGATAAAAAGCAGATTTGTGGCGAAATTCAGTATGTGAAATGTGACTTTGAAAGCTAGTTAAATGAGGCAGAGGTATTAAAGATTGTTTTGACATAAAGAGGATTGTTTAATAACACTGTTTCTATAAAATTAAGTGGAATTTTGAGTTCCACCCGTTGAACGATCAACACGCTTTTAACCAAATTAATAGTAAAATGTGTATTTTTTTTTATCCAATTATTAATTTCTTTTAAACCTATATTAATATGTTTTAAGAAATGTCAAAGGTACACAGCTATTTTACTCAGACTTATAACCACATCAATTGTCAAAACTCCGCTGTTCATCTGTTTCACAGATATTTCTTTTCTTTTGCTCATGATCTTGCACTTTTTGGTACGGAAATTTCAATATCACGAAGCTCCATATTTCTTAAAATATATAATGGACAAAAAAGTTTGTTAAACATGGCTGACTTGTAGCCATTTTTTTTTTGCATAAAATACAAGCACATATTTGTATTTTTAAATCGAGATGCTAATAAAAGAGCAGAAATGTACACTCGTTTTTTCCAAGAGGATGATATTTTGTGAAAAGGTGAAGATCGATGTTCAAACCTTTGAATATTGAAGATTACTTGTCACAGCTACATGTTAGATTCCTACTAACTTCACAACTGTTTAGCAAAGTGTTCTGTACTTACTTAAGATTTTCAATATTTTAGGGTGCTATAAACGAATTAAAAATACATGAAGATCCTAGGGAAGCGGAACGAGATTGCTCAGAGGTGAGTACACACTGCTTTTTGGTTTCAGTTATATGTGTAGCACAAGTACTGTAGTATATATCATACACATTTTTATATATTTCAAACGTTTTGACCCTAGCTTCACCGATGAGTCCTTGAAGGACAAAACAGCTGTATGATGCAGTGAAATTAATTTTTGATAAAATGTATCTATTACTAAATTCTAAAGGTGCAAATATCAGTTGTGTGCCTGTTACATTCATCTTTAACTCATTTCACCCCTGAAGTGTCATAATGAACTATTCCAACTTTTGAATTGGAAGAGTTCAAATGTGTCTCCAGGGGTGAATGAATTAAAAAGAATTCAGACTCTGTCTATTGAGTTCTGGTGATAGCAATTTTATTTTGTTTATTGTATACCTGGAAACTTTGATCCAGTCAAATATTCACCATTCACAGTGAAAATGTATGTAAAGAGTTAATTGCGCCCTTCAAAAACACTAAGTATAAATACACTAATATTCCCTGTCATCATGAATTCACCCTTAACAACCCTTTCACCACTGTAAACCATAATGGACTCATCCATATCAATGCATGGTGTAGTCTACTAAAGTTATATAGGGGTGAAAGGGTTCAGAAAGGTGAACGTTAAACTGTGGCAACCCTATTTCGGTATACAGTACATTAAATCAATGTGTAAACTTTTCTTACTGGTTATAGTCCATATCTGGATCAGGCGGGTCTTCAGGAGATGATGAAGATGATACGAGGACACCGTCACCACTACCACCGGTAAAAATCTCTCGGAATTTAAGCGGATGTGTTCACTGATTATATATTGGTTATATTTTGTCAACAATCATAGAATGATGAATATTGTTCATTTAATAATGAATAACGTTGAAATGTTCATTGGATGATCAATAATGGTTGTTGCGTAATTGTTCATTGTGCAAACAATTTTGTTCATTGGAGGATGAATACTGTAAATTTTATTATAAATACCTTTCTTTGTTCATTGTTCAGTATTTTGTTGTTCATTGTGTAAACAATTTTGTTCATTGGAGGATGAATACTGTTAATTATATTATAAACACCGTTCTTTGTTCATTGTTCAGTATTTTGTTGTTCATTGTGCAAACAATTTGTTGTTCATTGGAAGATGATTACTTTTAATTTTATTATAAATACCGTTCTTTGTTCATTGTTCAGTATTTTGTTGTTTATTGTGTGAACAATTTTGTTCATTGGAAGATGAATATTGTTAATTTTATTATAAATACCGTTCATTGTTCAGTATTTTGTTGTTCATTGTGCAAACAATTTTGTTCATTGGAAGATGAATACTGTTAATTTCATTATAAATACCGTTCATTGTTAGATTTATCTTTCTTCTGAACAGGTCACAGATATTGATGAAATTGTAACTGGAAATGGAGAAAAGGGAGATCAGGGCGAGATGGGAGAACGTGGACCACAGGGTTTGAAGGGTCAAAAGGGAGATCAGGGACTGAGGGGTCTGCCTGGTCCAATGCCTACAATACCACCCCCTCCACCACAGCCACCATCTCTTAAGGGAGACAAGGGTATGTACCATTGATTGTATTAAAGTAATTGTGGCGGTAATGACAATACTCACCAGTTGTTATCTTGCAGCTAGTGAATATAGAACAGTTTATACAGTTAAGGTATCCTTATCACTTGTACACGTGAGTCGTAGTCAGAGGTTGCAGCATAAGAGTCAGCTCTCGGGTGGTCACGGAATGTCACGTCAAGGGAGACAACTCCTACCTACTTAGGCGACACTACTACAGTATATATCTGTACAATACTCACCAGTCGTTGTCTCGCAGCTGATAAATATAGAACAGTTTATACAGTTCAGGTATCCTTATCACTTGTACACGCGGGTCGTAGTCAGAGGTTGCAGCATAAGAGTCAGCTCTCGGGTTGTCATGGCATGTCACGGCAAGGGAGACAACTCCTACCTACTTAGGCGACACTAACTACAGTATATATCTGTACAATACTCACCAGTTGTGTCTCGCAGCTGGTAAATATAGAACAGTTTATACAGTTCTGGTATCCTTATCACTTGTACACGAGGGTCGTAGTCAGAGGTTGCAGCGTAAGAGTCAGCTCTCGGGTGGTCACGGAATGTCACGTCAAGGGAGACAACTCCTACCTACTTAGGCGACACTACTACAGTATATATCTGAACTCCGGTATACCTGACCCACAACATTTAGTTTGCTCTTGGTTTCCTCTCACATTAAAGCCTCCTGTATGCTTCTATATATCTTGGCCATAAAGACTGATTAAAAGTTGTTTCTTAGTTTTTGTAAAATGAATAAAGGGTATACTATAGTAATCAAAGCACTTGGGTAGTTAATCCTGTGAATAGTTCAGGGCATATACCTGTGGTATTAAACACATTATAAAAACATAGAAACTTCCCCCAAATTGAAATTAAAAACTATACTAGTTTACCGTTGTCATGGTTCTTTTTTAAGATGATTCATATCTATATGGGTTGAATGTATTTTTGATGTGCTTTAACCCTTTCACCCCTACGTAACTTTAGTAGACTATTCCATGCATTGATCTGGATGAGTCCATTTTGGTCTGCAGCGGTAAAAGGGTTAAGGGAAGATTGGTTGATTAACATTATATTGTTTTATTCAGCAGTCGTTTTTCAATAAAATGTATTGAATGCTGATGTTTCTTGTCCTTGCAGGTGACATGGGAGAGAAGGGAGACAGAGGAGAAGTTGGTGTTCCCGGGTTTCCAGGACAGAAGGGAGAGATGGGCGTTGAAGGTTCAGATGGGCTACCTGGTTTACCTGGGTTATCTGGAGACAAAGGAGACATGGGGGTCCAGGGCATGCCAGTAAGCTTTAATACTAAATAGCCAAGATTCAAAACTGTGGGACAGGTTTTAGTTGTATTTACACTAGAGGGGATTTCCCTTTAGTTTAATTGGCAGAGCAACAGTCTGGGAAGCTTGGGGTCAGGGGGTCAATTCCTGTTTTTCTTGTTACAAATGGTGTCCCCACTCTTGTTGTGACAGGGAGTTTGAACCTTGGTTGTAATGTTTTATTGGTGCTCAGGGGATTAACTCATTTATAAAGGATGGATTAGTATAACAGGTTTTAATTGTATATATCATCATGGTCGCCTTCTAGCTTCACGCTTATCTTTAGCTGACTTGATACAGCGTTGGACTGGGAACCTGGGGATTGCTGGTCAATCCCGGGCAGGGAGAGCAACACTTCTCTTTTTCCTTACTAGAATATAGTTGGTGACTGTTTTGGGGGTTAAATTAAGAAAATATCTTTCTTGTTTTTAAGTCTCACAATGCCAGATTAAAATACACTGAACATTGATTTTTTTCTCAAGAAGATAATTCTGTTGGGAGCACAGCACAGTTGTTTTCACCTGCTGACTGAGATATTATTGGTTCCAATATTTCCAGCATCTTTCTGCTGTTTTTAGTGTCCTTGAGAACAACAATTTCCCTTGATTGCCCCAGTTTACCCACTTGTGCAAATGTACATCTATACACTGTTCAATTTTACAAAAATGTTAAAAAAAACACTGCATAATGTATTCTAATTTGTAGGGAAACCCAGGCATTGGAACAGCTGGACAGAAGGGTGACCAAGGTGATCCGGCCATTGTAGACCACGACGAGATTGCCTCAATTTTACTTAGCATGTCTGAATTCAACATCAAGGGGGAGCCTGGAGTGAAAGGAGGCAAGGGGATGGCAGGTCCTGCTGGTCCCGAGGGGCCTGAAGGCAGAGATGGGTACCCAGGGGCCCCTGGAGATCCAGGAAGAATCGGGGAGCCTGGACAAATGGGACCAAAGGTAACATCAGGGAATAGGAGCTTTTTTAGTATACAAAACGTTAAATACTTGGACTGTGAACTGTTAAAAGCTTTCATATGAATGATGTTGGGGCCAATTTATTATTATCTCAGCTTAATTCTCTACCATTTTTATGAGTATATTTCCACTGTACTGGAGAGAAAATTTCAACATCTCTTCCTTCCTCAGCACTAATGGACATAATTATTGTACATGGAATTGTACTTGTAGAAATAGCTTTAAGTGTTTCACAATATGACTCAAAGTATTGGAAAATTGTACAGAGTAATTCATTTTGTTTTGCCCTAATGATTAAGTAATAGTTTAATTTTTGTATCAAAATCCTTCACAAAAGTTGGTAAAATGTCTTCCAACAGGGAGAACAAGGTATCCCAGGAATGGGAATACCAGGGTCTGATGGCTTACCAGGTCCCTTGGGACCCACAGGACCTATTGGTCTCACAGGCCCCCAGGGTAAGCCAGGACCACCTGGGCCCCCAGGGTCACCTGTGGTAGTTGAAGGATCAGGAGAAGATGTTTTGGGAGAGATGGGACCTCAGGGACCCCAAGGAGAACGTGGTGAGACTGGTGCAGTTGGACCTATGGGAATCCAAGGCCCTGTCGGACCCATGGGTCTTCCTGGTGTTCCAGGATTGCATGGTGCTAAAGGTAGGTCAGCAGGTTAAGGGTTACACATGCCAAAGGTTAGGGGTCATGGGTCACAGCTACATATTCAGTTTATCCATCAATTTAATAAAGACAAATTGTTTAAAAATCTTAAAACCAATTGGAGTGTTGAAGGTCAGATATAATAGCTTTGAAGGTCAGATGTGATACTGTTGAAGGTAAAATTTAAATGTGATGGATTGTTAAAGGTCAAATGTGATGATAAAAAGGTAAAAATGTATCACATATAGAGCTTTTATGTATAACAAGTAATTTTTGTTAGGAGGATATGTTTAGTTTCAAATACCCAATATGGCTTTTTCATTGACTTGATTCAAGTTATACTGTATTCCAGAAAAGTGGTAATTTTCACTCAGAATTATACCTAGTATAATTTAACACATTTTTTTTTTTTTGGATAAAATAACAGTGCTTGAATGGCATCATGGATATAAAACCTCAAAATTACTTTTTCAGTTTATTTTTCGAAGCTGTGTCATTGTATTATTTGAATGATAATACTCAGTCTTAAAATTGGCAATATTTCTTGATTTAAACAAATTGGTTACCATTGGAAATTTTTCATTTTTGTTATTCTCCACCTGAAGGGTTATATTGGAGTAAGTTTAGAATGTGTTTAAATCTATTGTTTTATATCGACAGGAGAGCCTGGTGTCTTTGCCTACAATATGTCAGACTTGATTGGTCCTGCGGGAAAACCTGGTCTTGCTGGAACACCCGGTTTACCTGTAAGTATTGGAGGAATACATTTCTACTGTTGTTGATGGAAAGAATATTTGATTCATAACTCTATAAATTCTAAATTCATATATATTTTTATTGAAGCAAATATTTGCATTTCAAGTTTTGTTATATTTTTTTGTGTGTGAAATAGAAACCGAATATGAAATAGATGGAGAAATACATTGGGTAGTTGTCAAAGCTATGAATATAATATAATCCTAAACTTAACTGAAATGGGCTGTCTGTACATCAGTCCATGCTTTCTGTTGCATGCTATCGGAAGTTGTACAAAGGTAACGTATTAGGGGTGATGGCCCGTTCCTCTCTCCCCATTTTTACCAGGCTTTTACGATTGTCAAAGACAACTTCTATATATATGTACTTTGATACTGTGTATAATACACAGGCAGCACCCTTACATGAGCCAAAATCAACTGTTTCAGGCATTTTTTCTTCAGAAAAAAACAATGTACCGGTACATATACCACATGGACAAAAATTATGTATTTTACTTTAAAAGAAAAAAAGTTTTTATTTCAACTTCATCTAATTTTCAACATAAAAACGTCAAATATTAAAGAATTCATGTTAAAACATGCTACTTTGTTTTTCTATTACTTTAAATCATTTGAAAATTATTTTAAAGACATTTTTCCTAAAGATATTATGACAAGATTACTATAAGAGTCTTTGTTTTTACTATTTGATACAATCATATCTGATTTGCCTTGATGGTTTAACCCTTTCACCACTGTAGACCATAATGGACTCATCCAGATCAATGCATGGGAGAGTCTTCTAAAGTTGCATAGGGATGAAAGGGTTAATAGCAATAAATATTTGTGAAAATATTAAAACCTTTTAAAGATATTTTTTGATAATTGTTGCATTTTCCAAATTTCTTCTACAGTTAAAACTTAACTTTTGAACTTGAAGTATATCTTGTGTTGTTTGAAGCTCATGATGGGTAAACATGTATTACCCTTCCCAGTTTGGTTTTTGTTTGTTCTACTATTTTATTAATCCTTCAATTCCTTCTGGTAAAATCTTACCAATTTTGTTGTTGTAGTTAGTGATGTTTAGTTTCATGTTGAGTTATAAGATTTTTCTATTGATGAGGTTCATTTGTTATTACATCTATATGTGTTACATGTACCACCTTGGACAAAAATGCTCTTTATTCATTGGCTAAGAACAGTCACATGGTGTCCAAACAGCAGGAGTTGTATGGATCGAGGTTTCTTAACCTCAGGATTGAGTGACCAAATAGATAGCAATATCATCTATCAATAACCTGCCAAATTTTCCTTGAGGTCGACGACAATTTATGTCTTCAAAATGTTTGATATATAATTGAGCTATGCGAGGGTCCTCGATGCAATAAATGATAACTTATCACAAATATAGAGGATCAGGAAAATTAAAGGTGGAGTGTCCCTGATTACTGTTGTATCTCCAACAAAGAAGAGTTCATTTTTTTTTTATATCTTTCTCTTTCTTGGAGTTGCCTGCCCCTTTACTTTAGCTGAGAATAACTTACTGAAGAAATAAATGTATTATGTCTTTTTTTTCATATTTTTTTTTTATTACAGATCAATGAAATAGAATATTTTGTCATTTTTATGGAACTGAAAAATAATTTTTGGTATGGGCTTTTTACTGGGAATAATAGATGGTAGGTTGTTTATTGACAGGAAACAATGGACCCCACTTTTTTGTCCATGTAAAGTTTGGTCAATAGGCACTGTTGAATTCGTGCTGTCTAAAAAATACTGAAACACACCAAAACATTCCTGTACTGAGGTTTAACATATCTGTATAAACACTGTGTCTGTTTAAAGGGTATAACTGGTGCACCAGGGGTAGACGGACAAAGAGGGCCATTGGGTCCCAAAGGAGATAGGGTAAGTTTTATCTGTAATTTATATTACTCTCATGCAAGTTCAAACAAGATTGTCATTTAATATTAGAAAACATTACTTTACTCCAACAATAATTGATATCTGAAATAGTCTCCCACAAGATGCTGTTTCATCTCGTAACATATTTGACTTTGAGAAAAACTTGGACGAATTCTGTAAAGATCTTGAGTTGATGTATGATCATACAGCATCATCTATAGACTTAGTTTGTATTTACCAAATTGTATTTCAAATTATATTGATGTGGGTATACAGGCAGCAATGCCTGCATCAACTATAATATCCTATTAAATCCTATTAAATACTTCCATAGATAATGTAAAGTGCTTTAAAAGATTTTAAGAATTCTGTGTATCTGTTTCCTATACACTGTACAATGGGTTTTAAGAACAGGAAGCTAGACTGTCGATTTCAGTGGGTTTGTTCTTTGTACTCCACTAGTATTCTGCGGGGTCAAACATACTCACTATACATATGCCTTTTATGTGCTACATCACTCTCTTCTTTTAATTTTTCGTTATATTTTCGTTGCAAAATTAAAGTGATCTATATAAAATACAAGTGAAAAGTTTGTAGAAAACTGGAAAAATTGATATACTGAGTTAATTATCGTATGGGCTAGGGAAAGTGTTTTTCTCAGAAATATGGGGATATAGAAATTATTTTAAGAAAGGATTACAGAATAGAAACATGAAAAGTCTAATTGAAAAAAA